TGTTTTCTGAAAAAAGGTGGGGGTTTTTTTATGTCCCCAATTAAAAAAAAAAAAAAAAAAAAAAAAAAAAAAAGATAGTAATTTTGAGAAATTGACTTTGAAAGCCATTATGGCCTCATTTCTGCTTCACTCTACAGCCTTTCACCTTCTTAAACATAAAGACCAAATGGGTTTCCGATGCGGAGCGCCTCGTGGACTGCACCTTATTCGGTGTGCGGTGGTAAAATCTTCCCCTCAGGCCGATGGGCTCCTTCACTGGGGTCAGCAGATGGCCTCGCTCTGCTTCCACGTGTGTGTGTGTGTTTCCCTGCAGTGGTGAGGGTTTGGAGGTATTCCTTTTCTAACTCGTGATCTGGGAGCACGCTGTTGGGTTTTTGATGTCACACAGCTTAACCTCTGTTCAGAAAGCAACCCAGAATATGTTTCGCTTTAAAGAATAAACCCATTTTTGAAAAATCTTAGAAGAATTTGAAAACATAAACTGTCTTAACCAAAGATGCTTTGTATAAAAGGGAGAGCGCAAGAAAGAGCTTCATGTTTAACTGCCTTTGTCCTTTTTAGATACGCTGTTGGTAGGACTGACACAATAAATCAATTAAATTAAAATTAACTCAATTTCCATTTGCATGATTTATTGTTTTTCTCTTTCTACCAAAAACTGGATGATAAAACTGGTGCTTTGGTCTCTATTAGCCCTTTTCTTGACAGTCAGTTTTGTTTATAGAGACTTTATTTTTCGTTTTAATTTTGAGTATTTATTTAGGATATTTAAAATGTCTTACGGGTCCAGTTTAAATGTTCAATAGAAATTCAAGTCTATTTATTTTTCACAATGTGCTCTTGCATTATTTTGGCATTATTATATCATAAAGGTTTGATTACAATCCTTTATGAGATTGTGCAGTTTAGTTGTGCTGCTGGTTTTACATGACATTACCCATCAGATTAAATAATCTCAGTCATAGTAGCAGATTATAATACTGTCAAAATAAAAGTAGCAGATTCAATATGAAAGAGAAAAAAGGTGAAGGAAAAGATCAAGGCTGAACTCAAACACTTTTCAAACTTTAAGCCATTGTGAACCAAGACGAAAACTTGTTGTTTACATCTTGGGTTGTTTTACTCCCTCCGTTTAGCTGACGCAGCTTTTTGCTCCTGCTGATATCAAAGAAAACAACCACCCAGCTAAAATGTGACTGCTAACAGTTTGAGACTGGAGATGAAGGAAAGGAGGAGAGAGAGAAGGCTAAAACTGGATTCCTGCAAATCAGGCCTTTTGATGTGCGGAAGTGAATGGAGATGAATAGAAAAAAAATAGGAAGGGATTAAGGAGAGGAAGAGATAACTAGAGAGTGACAGGTGAAGGAGGAGAAGAGATCAGGGAAGTGGAGGCGCTCAGAGTGAATAAGGGGATGAAAGCAGGAACACAAGCGTGATGATATCCATGTAGCACTAAAAGCTGAATTTTGTGATTCTCAGTGAGTCATTTCTCAAAGCCAAGGTGAAAATAGATTTTTTCCAACAAAAATCCTTCACAGACATGATAAGAATAACATTTCAGTGCTTAAATGTTAAAAAGAATCTTTTATAAATTGAAAATACAAAGTTGCTTTAAAAGGCATCTTTAAAACCACAACAAACTTTCCCTCAATTTACTGCTGGATGTTTATTTTATGTAATAAACCTGATTTTCTTCTATCTCAGACTTTTGGCAGCTTATTATTAGCTTACCATCAGTTTTCTTTTTACGTTTTATTCATTGTTATATAAAAAGAGATTGAGATGAATTTATAGGTGTACATGAGCAAGGAGTTGGTAATTATTCTGATGCTGTATGTCCAGCTGTTATTTAAAATTGTCATTATTATTATCCGTCGATTTTCTTGTCCTGTTATGAGTTCGTTTGTAACCATTTTGTCTATTTAATATAATTTATTTGTTGGCTCTTTAGCACAGTATATTGAACAGGCACATGGATATTATAACATGGTTTTAATTACAAGTATGTGATAATTACTGAGTCAGTAAGCAATGTATTTCATTAAATTAAGATAAGAGGTAGGCTTGAATAAACGTTATCTTCTTCCTACCCCTTTTCAGACAGAAAATTATTGGGAAACTAATTATTTTGTTCTTGGTTATGCATGCATATATTTTCTCTGTCCTACTGATCACTTTTCTTGTTTTTCAAACCCTGTTTGAAATAATAATAATAAAAAATCCAATTAACCTAGGTTCAACATCTAGTTAAAGTAACAGGAGTTCAGTAAAATGCCGAACTCCGGTTTAATTTAAATAAACAGAAAAAAATGAACTACAGAGGAACATAAACTGGGAGATTACTTAAAGAAAGGGTTGTGAATGTTCGACCAGCAAGAAATGTTTTGCACCGTCCTACTTCCAAACTATGCCTGTAGTTTTAAAAAGTCCAACTGAAGATATTTTCTGGGGTAAATGTCGAAACTGGTGTTTTGTTTTGGGTCGGTTCTTTCAGTGAAAACGAAAATGACCCCATTAAACTATTCTGGTTCTTGGAAAAGGAGACGTACCTTAAAATGGCGGCCGGATGTTTTCCATCGGGATTCGTCACAGCAGTGGTTGCTCACATTTAGAAATCAGCAGCATAAAACGAACCTGCAATCAGAGCATTGATTAAAGTAAATAGACATCAGAAGGACCTAACGTGAGAAATGTCTCATTAACTTAAAAACTAGGACAAAAACAGTGGTGGAGATTTACTTCAACGGCTAATTCTTCCCAGTTTAGCTATTTAACATTAGCTTTAGGCGTCACTAACATTTCAGCTAACTGGAGAAATGGCTTGCTTCTAAACCCCAGAAACATCCCGTTTGGCTGACTGCTCTTCATTGACAGGGTTTTAAATGAGCAGCACTTTCATGTAATTAACCACCTATAATTAGCAAAAGCAACTTCATATTTTCTTCATATTAGCTTTCTTACTAGATTAGCTTTTTTGCTAATCCGGTTTTGTAGCCTGACATCGTCTCATCTGACACCGCAGGTGTGTGGGTCATTTTTACAGACTGAACAGATTTACACCCACAAAGAAAGTAAGTCCTCCTAAAAACCAGCCTTACCGTGTATAAAGGCCTCGTTGAACAATTTCTTTCTTTTTGTCATTAAACGGTGAAGGAGATAGAGATAAAAATAAACGCACAAAAACGTAACTAAGAAGTTACTTCTTAGCTAACGATTTCACTAGTTCCACCATCTGTAATTTGCAATAATTTTTAAAGCCATTTGTATAATTATTTTTTAAAAAATTGTAGCTTAATATTTATAAATTTTAATGATAAAGACAAATAAAAAGTTTATAGAACTCCATGTAACATTATTGAGCTGTGATACATACTAATAAAATTACACAATGTTTTTAAGTAATTTTTTTACCATTTGGCACCAATAAAAATATACTGATTTTATGTCATGGTAATGCTCTTGAATTTACTTTTAGCCAACCCTGTGTTAATAGCTCTGATCGTTTTGTTCTCAGGTGAAGGTGATGGTCAGAGTTTGCCCAACGTCTCAGTCTGATGCTGCAGAGTCCAGTTCCTTCTTGAAAGTGGATCCCAGAAAGAAACAGATCACCATCATGGACCCGTCGGCCAACCAGACACCGAATGCTGCCTCCCAGAAAAGAGCAGGAGTCAATCATGCCCCGCCAAAGATGTTCACCTTTGATGCTGCATTTCCTCCAGATGCATCACAGGTGAGAATTTTGGTGTGAAAAAATACAGCCAATGCCAGTTTTCTTCCTAAAAGCGTCAAATTATTTGGAATGTGATTATTCTTTAAATCACCACTGGAAGCCAAACTTGTGTCTTTATTTGAAATTCAACATTTAATTTACATAAACCACCTCCTTATACTTTCACTCTTTTAGCTTTTCTTAGTTATGAGTTAAACTACAAGCTGGGGAGACAAGCACAACAAATCAATAAATCAAGTTTATTTGCAGAGCACATTTCAGCAACAAGGCAGTTCAAAGTGTTTTACATCATAAAAATGCAGGCGCCGTCGTTACACATCAGAACGTTGTTTCATTTATAATGTTTTAAATCTAGTTTAAAACTTTAAATCTAGTTTCAGTCTAGATTTAAAAGTGTTTTGACTTTGTTCCAAATTTGTGGTGCATAGAAACTTGAAGACTGTTGATCATTACATATATTTACAAATGCATATTTGTAATTAAAAACTAAAAAAAAAACTCTGAAAACATTACATCCTCCTCCTTCCACCTCAAATGTGAATGTTCAAGTAGTGAATATTTTCCACAGAAACAAATATGGCTTCCCAAGTTGCTAAAATAAAAAAAGCAAAAAGGAGTACATTGATTAGAAAATGAGTGATGAGTTTGGCGTAAAGGTGAACAGAATTTGAATGTGGCCATCTCAGTGTATAATCTTTGCTTTGTGTTTTTCCTCATCATCTCTCCGTCGTCGCCTGTTGCCAGGCGGAGGTGTGTGCAGGAACAGTGGCTGAGGTCATCCAGTCGGTGGTGAACGGAGCCGACGGCTGCATCTTCTGCTTTGGACACTCCAAACTGGGTAACAGCCTCTTGAACACAACTTCCCCGGCTACAGAGCATATGTGGTTTATGAGTCATCCCTCGTATGTGTGCCTGACTGTCAGTGTGTCAGTCCTTCACTTGGCGACTCTCCCTCGTCTCTCAGAGACAGAAGAGGATTAGTGTCTGCTCTGGCTGAAAGCTTCCTCAGTCTGTTTTCCTGTCTTCCTCTTTTGCTCCCTAATCCTCCTGAAGCTGATTTTTTAGAGAAGTCAACTTAGGGTCAGGACCCTTCACTGCACACTGCAACGCAATCTGAACCCAAACATGTGCAGCGTTAACAAAGGCCAGGCAGCTCAGACACATGTTGTTTAACTTCGGGTCAGACCCAGTTGTGTTTATCCCCTAGTTGCATTATTGGTCATGTTCTGTGGTCTGAATACATCCAGCTGAAGTTTCCACCAAGTCTCTTTAAGATATGGAACTGAAGATAATGGCTGAGAATTAAAATGTGTCGGTTCAGCGAGTAACATGTAGCCGAGGCCCTGAGGGAGACTCCCAACTTGTACTCAAAATCACAATTTGGATTAAATTAACTAGATCATTTTTATTTCTTTGTTTGACATGTACAGCTCTGGAAATAATGAAGAGCCCACTGCACTGAACCCGACAGAAAACCTCCTGGTTATTCCACCAAATATTGATCTCTGAACTAAAGTTAAAACATTATTGTCGTTTCTAAATTAACATGACATTACATTATTTGAGGTCTGAAAGCCCGGCGTCTTTTATGTTCTTATTTCAACCATTTCTCATTTCTGCAAATAAAAACTAAATTTTTGCTTTGAATTTCAGAGACATGTTGTCAGTGGTTCATAGAATAAAAGAACAAAATTAATTTTACTCCAACATAAACCTATAAAGAGTAAAATCAGATAATCTGAAGAGGTCTCTTAATTTTTTCCAGAGCTGTATTTCAGAGATCCGCCTGAAGTTCGTTGAACCCAAAGTGATTCTCCACAGACACATACATTTCTTATTGGCTGAGCCGTGCGTTTACTTCTGTTCTGTAACTTATTGGGAAAAACCAAAAACAAGTGTGTGAACATCCAATATGTTAATCAGCTTTGAGTTTCTCCCACATTCCTTGAAACTTCTTTACAGAGCTACTCCGCAAACAAGCTGAATTCAAATCAAAGTTTACAAATTTTGTAACCTCTGAAACTTTAATTTAATGCAGGAAGAGGTTCTTTATAACTTGCAAAAAAACATAAAATAACAGTTTTCTCTGAAATTGGTGGTTTTATAATTTTTTTTCTCAGTTTCTGCACTGTCGACTTGTTCATACGTTCGCCGTGACGCGTCACAAATGTCGACATTTGTTGACCATACACTTCAACTTGTCTGCAGAGGCAGAGGGAAAAATACCTCTAGCTAAGACTATCACTTTACCCAGGCACTACTTACGAAACCTGTTTAACGTACAACTCCTGAACATCCTGCAGGCGCTGAGAGGCGATCGAACTCGTGTCTCAATCTGAAGAAATAAAGATGAGAAACACATGAGGTTTTTTTGGCTGCATCAAAATTAGTGTATTTTGCAAAACAAAAACAACTAAATCATTTTTATTTCTTTGCTTGACATGTACAGCTCTGGAAATAATGAAAAGCCCACTGCATCACACGAGTCGTGACTAACAACTGATTGTTTTACTAAAAAACAAACAACAGGAAGTGGTAGGAGGATGATGATGCGGCATGTTTTTTAACATGAAGAAACTTATTCATTTGCAATTTTAACCAAGTTTCTAATTTAACAACATTAGTGGAATATCGATAAAGTGTTGCGTACATTTGAAATTAAGCTATATAGTTCATGATTTAATCAAAAATGGGCAAAGAAAAAAGTTACTCCTGATCAAAAAAACACATTTTACTGTCTAACATTTGCCTTTGTTCATAATCACCAAGACATTTGTGGACATTCTGTAAACTGATTAGATAAAAGTGAATTTTTTGGGGGAGAGTGCATCTTAAAAATCTATGCCAACAATCAAACATGTAATGGGAAAGGACATTTAAGTTGATATTAAGCAGAACATTTACAAACAAACTAGGTTGGGTGAGTAAACTGATTTTAAATATCTATTTTAGCGATTAAACTCACTAATAATTAAATATATACAAACTGTTTTTCTACGTTTTCAATATTCCCAACATTAATTTCACTCAATGCAACTGGAAAAATAGCTTTACCTTAATGTTTAATTTTATGTTGTTAGTGCTGATTAGCACATCAAATGTCTTTGGCATTTAAAGATAAATTAAAATCTTTCTTTGTCTACAGACATGCAGGTTGGGTGAACTGGTGACTCAAAACTCTTTGGGAGTGCATTTATCCACGCTTAGCTGCACACACGCAGGCAGAGACGAGCTATAGCAACCTTAAGCTAAATGTGGGTGAGCATATAAAATGAATGAGTGGGTGAGCCAGATGTGCACACAATAATTAGAGCCTCCTAAAACAAAATAAGTCACCACTGTGCTCGTCTAGACAGGTGCTTTTATTCCACAACTTTCATCAAACTTTGAAACAGAAAAATAAAGACAGAATTAATGGTAAAAGCTACTCTGCCTGTAATGAACGACTACATCTGGAACTAATGTTCCCTCTAATTGCTTGAGCATGGCCGTGTAAATGACACTGCAGGCGCTTTTATAAGCTTGGAGAAACAAACTTTTGTTGATGGATTTCTGAATGGATTCCTGCGTTCTGTCGCTACCGTGACCAGGAACGGTTTCAGCTTAAAGAGCCGCAGCAGCAGCAGCTCACCCCGGGCCATGAATCTTAATGGGGACGCCGCGTTATAATGACATTACCTTTTTGCTAATTAAAATGGGGAAAGTAGCACAAAGAGTGTTTATCTTCAGCCTGGAAGCCCTGGGCTGTGGATTCATGAGGGGTCAAATCTCAGTACAAGCAGGTTCGCATTGAAAAAAGCCAAATATACCAAAATTAAAAACTGCTACATTTGTATAATTTTGATACAAGCCAAATATTATAGCTTTTGTCAGCATTGTTACTAAAAGCCTAAGAGTGATTAAACTTTTCCACACTTTGTCACACTGCAGTCACAAATGTAAGATTTATTTTAGTGAAATTTTATGTAATAGACATTGCACAAAAGGCTGAAGAAAATAATTATCTGAAAATGTAGGTAAGGCAGGTAATTTTATTTATGTAGCACATTTTCAGCAACAAGGCAGTTCAAAGTGTTTTACATGAATTAGAAGGAAATACAAACAAAACCAAAGAAAGACAAAATGTTAGAGATGTATAAAACTAAATGTTGGTTCTGGGTTGACATTTAGCTTTATAAACTTCTATAAAGCTAAATGTTGGTTCTCCATGTTTGTTCTGAGTTGCTAAGTAACAAACCAACAGGAGTTTCTAGGTGTTGCTCCGACATTAAAAGCATAAAGCTAAATGTTGGTTGGTTCTCCATGCTTCATTATAAAACTAAATGTTGGTTCCAGTTGTTCTGGGTTGCTAAGTAGATGGTACTGTTTAAGGCTACGTTCACATTGCAGACTGAAGTGACCCGATTCTGATTTTGTTTGCCATAATGCGACCTGTATCCGATCTTTTCATGACAGTCTGAACAACACAGGTCGGATTCTTTTCGAATGCGACCAAGGCCACTTGGATATCCGTTATGTATCCGATTCAAATGTGACCTAATGGCCAGGTCTCATTCATCTACCTGAACGCCACTGATACTCGACAAACGTCCCTATTCTCTGTCCTGATACTCACAAGCACGAAGATAAACAGCAACCATGGTGGACGTTAATGAGGATTAAGTTGTTATTGTGCTGGTTCCGGTTGGACAACTTCAACATCGTAAGCTAAGCTCCACCGTTAGCATGTTTACTTCCACAAACACTGAGAACTTCTTCTTTTATGGCGTTTGACTATGACGCTGATGTTATTGCGCCCTCTACTGCACATGCGGGACACTTTCAGGTCGTTTGCCGTTCACACTGGAGATCACGTACAGGGCGCATTTATTTGGAAGTGTGAACAGCAAAACAATTCGATTTGACCAAAACTCTGAATTGGGGCACTTCAGGCTGCAGTGTGAACGCAGCCGTAGTTTGTTCTAGATTTGTAACCTATAAAGCTAAAGTGTAGCAAGCAGCTACTTTTTTGTCTTTTATGTCTCTTCCAGCTTTGTTCATCTTGAAAATCACAACTTCTCCATTTTTTATTGGCATAGTCAGGTTGAATGGAAACTTTTAAGACCTGCCAAAGGTCTGAGCTTTAACTAGGACATGAATAGGCTTCGATCTAAAACTATTTTGCGGTAGCTGGTTGAAGGTTTTGGATTATTGCACTGAATACTCCATACCTTGACACTCAATCCCTGTTTATTTTAACCTTGTTCAGACAGTGACAGCATCTGTTATTTTGGTTTGATGCGACCAATTACGAGGCATCCACACCACTATAAAAAAATAAACTCAGTTCACTCACTGTTTTACAGTCTGCAGCGTAACGTTCCTGTGCAGCCGGCTGAAGCAGTCAGCCACAGAACCAGGACTTGACAGTCTGCAGCAGCGAGAACAAAGGAAATGGCTGTGATATACCAACACTCACATTCTGTCACATAAAGTCGGGCCTGAAAGGAAGAGAGACACACAGAGACGTAATGGCTGTTAAATAGACAAATTGTGATGAAGGAAATCCATCAAATCAACTGGGAAATCAAATTAGTCAAAGTTAATGGTCTGGTGTTGAACTTTAAAGAGGATCGAATACAAAATTCACTTTTTGCGTATTTTTTGTACGTCCTTTCAGGTCCCAACTGCTTTCAAAACACTCGGATGTTTCTGGCAATAACTTAATGTTTTTTAGTGTCTGGAAAACAAGACATTTCAAAATCCTCTTCAATGTAACTGCTCCGTTACCCAGTAACCCTAACCGAGCCTGGAGTTGCCTAGCAACCCAAACGGAACTCCAGCACGTTTGGTCAGCTGTATGCTCTGTGCAATGGATGCTGGAAATGTCAAGTGTATTGTTATTGACTCATCATTCAGAAACTGTTTACTGTATAGCTCATGGATTATAATCTGACATCAATTAAAGCTGAGGCAGCATTTTTGAGAAAATCTGCAATAAACTCCCAATTATGTAACAGTTCAGAAAAGTGCTGGGATTTCTTGATTTTGTGTAAATTTCCACAATAATTCTCAAGAAACTGGAGAGACTGATCAATATCATTTAGCAGTAAACAGATAAAAACTGCATTGATTTGGTTGATAGCATAATATTTAAGAACACTAAGTGTTTAGTCTGGAATCTAGAGGACCAGTTTGGATCTACAGGGCCGGATTTGGCCCACAGGCCTTGAGTTTGACACATGCCATAGATCTATCTGTCCTAACCTGTTCAAGGAAACCTAATAGGTCAACTTTTACACTCATGGAGCAGCTTTTTGGTTTTATTAACACAAAGTGTCACAATGTATAAATGAATGCACATTGTCTCTTTTACAACGCGTTTGCACCGTTTCATGAAGCAGCTCAGTGTTTTTAGAGCAGATGCTTGAGGAAACGCTGAGGGAGAACAATGTAAAATCAGAACGTAGCTGACAGCCTCCCCTCCATCCTCATTCAGAACAAATGGGAAACATTTCTCTACGCTGCATCACAGGAGTCAGGCTTTCATGTCCTCTGTTTTCCACATGTTAGCTGTGACATATGGCTTTGTTTAGGCGGGTGTTTGATCTCCTGATTCTGACAGCCGCAGCAGGTGTAGGAGGAGGATAATCATCGCCCTGTGACTGGAGGAGACACAGATCCACTCACAGACGATCATTTCACTCACACCTTTTTCTTACTCATCTTCCTCCAGAGAATAGAGGTTTTATGATCTTTTTCTTCTCACCCCTTGCTCTGCTTTTTGTCTGTGTGTGTGTCATCCAGGAAAATCGTACACAATGATTGGTCGTGATGACTCTCTTCAGACCCTGGGAATAATCCCCTGTGCCATCTCCTGGCTCTTTAAACTCATCAATGAGAGGAAGGAGAAAACAGGAGCGCGCTTCTCTGTTCGAGTCTCTGCTGTGGAGGTGATTGAGAAAAACACCTCAGTTATTAGAAACATTACTGATGTTTTTTATCATATAGATAAGGAAGCAGCTGCAGCGGTCACTGACTGTTGTTAATTTAGTATTTTTTTAAGCTTTCACTTAAGAAATGCTCCTAAGTTTTTTTAAAAAAAGAAAAGAAAATGTTTTTAGCCTGTGTCGTTGAGTGACTTATTCTGCAGCATTTCTTGTCTTTTTAGTTAAGATCATAAAAGTCAGTAAAACTACTGAACTGTAAAACATTTGAAGGTGTTTTAACTTGGAAATGAAAGCCCACCTGCTGAAAATGCAACTTAAGTCAACAAGAAAATTGTTTTGGTTTTTACTCAGAAATTAAAGTTCATGAAGTTGATTTAACAAGAGACAAGTTGTCTAAAAAATGTTTTTTAAGTTCATTAATCTTGAATTGTGAGTTTTAACTTAATGCTGCAATTTAAACCAAATAATTATTTCACAATATGTAAATAAAAACTGCCCTCAACTGGTTAAAGAGCCACATTTCCCTATTATTTTACTCACAATATCAAGTTAAAATAACTTATTTTACTTTAGAATAATTTAAATTCTTGTTTCAAATTGCATGAACAAAATTTCTGATTGATTTGTGTTCAGGTTTGGGGAAAGGAGGAAAACCTGAAGGATTTGCTGTCTGACGTGGCTACAGGAAGTCTGCAGGACGGCCAGTCGCCTGGAGTTTATCTGTGTGAGGATCCAATCTGTGGCATGCAGGTACATCTGACAGCTGTTTGCTTATTTAAATGTTTTCAATTTGCTTCAGAATTTATTTTTAACTTTTAAAAGTCGATTTTGTCTTTGGGAGTTGGGGCAGAAACACACCCTTGTGACATTTGAAAATAATGAGAATCAAAAGTACAGAAGGAAAAAGTACTTGATAAAAAACTTTAATCAATCGAATGCAGGGTTTCCCCCAGTCTATTATAAGCCTGGCGGGCCACCAGGCTTGGGCCCCCACCAGGCTTAGCATTGCTTATTTATTTAAGTTTTTTTTTTAATGTTTGCACTTTTTAAGACTTTATAGTTGGTGTTCAGATATTAATCTCCCAATCTTTCAATAACACATAATTATCAAGAGATATTTTCAAACCACTGAGCTTAGCAAGTTTTCTGGGGGGAACCTTGAAATGTAAAGATTATTTTACTATTTTACCTTAACTGAAAGGCATTATGCCTGTTCAAAGAGCGAAAAAGCACAAATCAAATAGTGTAATGATAAAACAATATAATCTGCCTTATCAGATTATGACTTTTTAACATGCTTCATACAAAACTCAAACAACCACTAAATTATTACTAAATAGACTAACAAATTAGAGAATAGCAGCAGCATTACTTTTGCTGTTTGTCCATGATTACGTAATCTCAGAGTGGTGTCCAAATCTGAGCCAAAATTGTCAAGTTATCAGTTTTGCTTCACTGCAATTCAGTATTTTTTTAAAATTGTAGATGGAAATGCTGAGCAATAAAATCAATGCAAATTGTGTTAACCAGACAAATGCAGTCTGATTTTTGCCAAATAAAGCAACACACATATACAAAACATGTTAAACAGCTGATTCTGACCACAAAGGACGGCTTTCACCAAAGTTTAACAGTATTATAGTTTGTTTTTTTTCCTTTTTTCAGGAAAAACACACCACAGTAGTCAGATTGTCACAAAGTGACAGCAACAAGTGAGCAGCAGAATCTCTGCTTGTTTATAGGATTAGAGGGTCTGGTGCAAACACATCTGTATAATCCCTAACTAATCTGGCATAATCTCATCAGTAATTACATCCTGCAGCACACACACACATTTTCCACTCCTTGCAGCTTCTTTGTATGTCACATACCTGCAGGTGAACCATTACTAGCAGAGCCCTACATGTCAAATCCTCATTGTAAACATAATCATCGTATAAATACTTTTTGGCTGGTGACTCAAATCCCTCTGGCTTAATTTGGTTTCCTCTTACCTCCCCCATCCTATCATGTCTGTAACATTGATGCAACATTATTTTTCAAATCTGGATGCTTTCCAGCTCCAAAACCAGTCGGAGCTCCGTGCTCCCACCCCAGAGAAGGCGGCCTGGTTCCTGGATGCGGCCATCACAGCTCGCCACAGCAGCCAGCGGCCCAGCACCACAGAAGAAGAACACAGGAACTCCCACATGCTCTTCACGTTGCACATCTACCAGTACCGCATGGAAAAGACAGGCAAAGGAGGGAGTGAGTACTCTATGCTAGGAAAACATTATTACCATTGAGATGCGTTTTCCTGCAGCAGATCTAGTTTTTCATTTTATTGAGGAAAAGAAAGTTTGTCTGAAATATGATATTCAGATCTGTGTGTTATAAATGCAAATCTGTCACCAGTATGCCACTGTGTGATCTATTAATAATAATTCAGTGCTTAGAGAATAACAGTCTGATAACACAATCACACTGAGTCACTGCATGTGACTGAGACAGAGTCTGACACTTCTCATGCACAAAATGTGTGCGCATTAATGTACTTGTCAGTGTTTCCTATTCAGAGCTATTTCCGAGTATAATAACTCTTCTAAGATCACCTGCCGTGTGGGACCAAAGCTCAGTCGTAACGCAGCATAATACAGATTTTTTTAAATTGTTCGAGTTTGCTGAAAATTACTTCTAGTTTAAGGGACGGATTAGGAATGTAGTGGTAACTGTTACAGTTAGCACAGTGTTAGCATTAAGCAAAAATGTATCAAATGCTAGTAGCATGTGGAGACTAGCATGTCATGTTGATCTCCAGTAATATACCAAACATGCTAGTAACACCCCACATGCTACTGACTGCATTTTATCAAATCATAGCACTGTTGCTAATTTTTAGCATATACAATATTGTTTGCTAAATAGAGTAAATCCATATTAGAGAACATGCTATTAATCCCCAACAACTATTGACTACATCTTAGCTAGCATTAGCATTGTTGCTAATTTAAGCTTCTACAATGTTAGCATACTAAAGGGAGTAAACCAAGAATAGTCAACATGCTATTAATCCCCCAACAACTATTGGCTACATCTTAGCTAGCATTATTATTGTTCTTATAGTGTTGTTGCTAACTTTAGTTTCTTCAATAATGTTTTCATACTGAGAAGGGCAAGACAAGGTTTATCTACTTGCTACTGACAACCTACATGCTGTTGACATCATTTTTGGCTAACCTTAGCATTTTAGTTACATTTAACTTATACACTGTTGTTGAAATACAAAATGGAGTAAGTCAATGATAGTCAACTTGTTACTGACAGCATTTTAGCTAAGCCTGGACATTTTCATCACATACAACAGACAGACACAAACTATCTGTTGTCTTAACCAGTTTATGCTTTGACACTCAAATCAGCTCCACTGATGCCTCTGATTCAAGTCTGATATGGACACTTTGACAGGCTCCTTTAGAATTTATTTTAAAAAGTAGTAAATAAACTTAAGGAAGTCAATTAAAAGTCTAATTGTGGTCAGCAATAAATACGCGTGTGTGTGTGTGTGTGTTAGCATAATTGTCAACATGCATGATAGGAAGAGACACAGAGATTAGGGATGAATAACTGTAATGTGGTCATCATTTTGCTTTCAGCTGACCCTGGACTTCATTTGCTAAAATGTCTTTTATTGCAAACACATTTTGATATTTACTCAGTTTTCCCCATTTTGGAACTTGGAAGCAAAGCACATTGACGAAAACATTCCTTTTGGTTTAATCTTAATCCATTTGTCATTATGCTTCAATAAAAAAGAGTTTGTTAGAGTTGTTTGAATCTTATCTTAAGAGCTGCAGCTTCACCATCAAACTCACTAAATTGTCCTGTTGGATTGGGCAGGGATCCATTCTTTGTTCTCTTTTTAAAAGCTCCAGTTCAGTTTCATCCTAGACGAAAATCAGATATCATTCCACTAATCTTAAATCTACTTGATTGTAAGCAGGAGAGATAAAGCCCCACTGAATGCTTTGCTGGACGGCTTTAAATAATGGATGAAATGTAAAACAGATGCAAGATGTTTGGGAGTACATAACCTCCCCAACTCCAAAAGTTTTTCTGTAAAAACTCAGCGTAATTTTTGACATGACATTCTTTCTCATTGCCAAGAAACAAACAGTTGTCAGAAGCTTCTATTTTTGTCAACTGAGAGTCCTTGCCGAAATCTTTACTCTCATTCCTGCACTTTAAAAGGGTGATTTACAATTTCATCTAATCTACACAAGACAAGTGTACAGTCTGCATTGTGATATTTCCCTCACCAATTTAAATATCAAGCTAATTTTACATACTTCATCTGTTGTAGATTTACTGTACTGGGCCTCTAATTTAGATTAGAATCTATTTACAGCAGTCTTTCTCAAACTGTGGTCCGCAGGCGCCCCCTAGTGAACTGCGAGGTACTGCATGTAAACAACCGTTTACGTACCGTGACGTCAGCTAAAAGTGCGATGCTACAGTTAGCTTAAGATCGTTATTAAAAATAGTAATGGATAGCAATGAATAAGTGGCTTAAGATTAGGTCACTAAAAAGAAAAACTGAAGATAGAAGTGGAAAGTTTTTCAGGGTGAGCTGCAGAACTTTTGTTTTTGAATACTACTAAGATATATAGCATGTCGCAGGACCTCAGTTTTTTTTTTTTGTTTTTTTTATTGACAATAAAGGGGTTT